GGCATAAATCTGGTATCCACTGAACTATCAGTAATTATGGATTTATGAGTTGTTCTAGCAGCAGCTGTTTGGGTCTAATGGTTCAGGGCACTCTTAGGTTCTTCCTAAATGAGTAGTCAGAGCAGAAAACCAGCTGCTTAAGGAGATGTGTTGTGAAAGGTTCAGAGCAGAGCTTAGCTCAAAATTTTTGCCGTCACTGTCCCTGACAGAGGCTGAAATTCGACTCTTAGAGAGCCTTTGCTTCTGAATAAAAATGTTTTCTTGGAGGTAATACCTTAATATATTATCTATTACTGGGTGTATTCATTGTCAGATTTTTAAAAACTTAACTGCACACAAAGCCTACAAGAATGAGATTCAAGCTAAGCACCCAGGTTTTAGAATGACAGTCACCTAGCTTCCAAATTTGCTTTAAGATCTGCCTTAGACATCATAAGCACAATAGTTTTATTCATATTGAAAATTCCCTTTGCACAGATAGATATGACAAATATATATACATGTATATACACACAGACACACACACACACATATACACACAGCCCAGCCTCTTTTGCAGTAGCCTAAAGAGACAGTACATAGGAGAACAAGACTTTCCACTCTAAACACCTCTTTTCCCATCTTATAGTCATGTCCTTACCATCTCCAGCTTTGTGAGATGTGAAATTTTACTAAGAGCTAGATAAGGTAGGACTTTCTTGCATTTAGCCAAGTGTCACCTTGGTTTCTTGGTGAACACATCCTCACTATGCATGATTTTATGGATCTCAATCTTGCCCTTACCATCATTATTGTAATCTCCATTCTGGTTGACTGCCAGAGACAACAGTTCAGTTTATTTTAACATTTAATTTTTCCTCTGGCTTTGAATTTTCTGGCTGGGAAGTTATTGGGAGCATGAAGCCGTGGGGTGCTTTAAGCCTCTAAGTCTCTGCAGTGAAGTTAATTTGTGTGGTGTGGAGTTACAGGGGCTGTTCTTTCTCAAATAAGTCCTGTATGAATTTTTATAAATCCACTTGAGTCCTTACAGTTTCAAGAAAAATAGATCCTCTGCCTCAAATAAGTTGCGAATTGAAACTATTTTGGTTATAATTGTATTCTTTCTCTTAATGAATCTAAACTTACGTTGAAATAGCAATGACAGATGAGGCACTTAAAATTAACTGCTAATACCACTTTCTGTATTTTATTTTAGATAAATAAATATTCATTTGTTAAGTGGATATTCTGTTTCATCAACAAGGATGCAACATGGATAGCACAAGTCATTAGCATAATCCAAATGCTTGCTAAAGGCCTTTGGAATGCCTAAACTTAAAAAAATACACTACCATGGACTTGGAAAGAATCCTGCACTCCAAGGCCAAAGAATCTACTGCATATTAATCTTCATTATAAAAAAAAAATTGATTGGAGACCTAAATACAAAAATAAGCATATTGTGCAATAGCAAAACATGAAAAAATAAATTTAAAAAAAGCTTTAGGAAACTTCATGGCATTGTGCAAAGATGCTACACAGAAGAAAGGGAGATACGGTGGTCCTGCTTTTGTCACCAATCAACTTTGAAATCTTTAGCCAGGCATTTCAGTCCTATAAAAATCCATTTTCTCACATGTAAAAGGAAGAGTTGAAGTTATGTTTTTCCAGGGCTTTTCTTCTCTGACAAACTGAATCTTACAACAATTTTATGACTCAATCAAGGTAGCAGAGACCAGAGACAGTTTGAAAAAACACCTTACAAGACTTATAAATGAAGTTCTGCCTCCAAGGGCACTTAATTTTTTCAAGTGAAAGCATGCATGCAGATTCATCCAGCTGTTACCCCAGAAGAGGACAGAGTAAATATACTCCATTGTATAAGAAGCCCAAAGTGTGATCGTTAAAAATCCCCACACACAATTAGAAAACTGGTGACTGCTCTGTGTCTCATCTATAAACTGCATAATCCTGAAAACTTTGAGAGCGTGTGCTGAGAAGCTGAGTGAAGAGGTCCCCTGAGGAGGTGTTAGAGACACATACTAAAGTCAGGAAGAGATGGTGGGCATGGGAAACAGGTCACCCAGTAGCCCTCAGCAATTTGGGCTTTATAAACCACACTATTAGGATTTATACCCAGCCATGCAATTTCTAGGAATTAATGTCAGGGACTATAAAAGGTATACTTTGGATATATTTTAGCACTGTATACCTAAGTAACACACTGCAGTGCAGGCTAATATATATGCAGTTAACTAGGTTTTTAAGACATTCACTGATTACCCACCTACAACATACAATATGTTCAACAAAAACCTAAACTGAAATTTGCAAGTGCACATCTGTGCTTATAGGGAAAACATTCAAGTACACATGCCTGGATAATGAAGTTCTGTTACTTCTAAAATAATTCTTAATGTTACATGATCATTTGTTACATTGCAGGGAAAATATACCTGTGTTTAAAATCCATCATAATGAGTCATTTTGATATACTAATAAGGACTTCAGAGCAATACAGTTTGAAGGGAAAATCCGTTGACAGATACACTACTGCAACTGAATACAGAAGCAATACAAAACTTTAATGCTGTCTCTTCTAGCATTTTTAAAATGACCGTTAACATTTCTTGATGACTGTTACTTTTCCTTGCTCCTTTTCCTTTTTGTTCTTCTCCAGAAATCAATTTTTGAAATTCAGTAGGAGTTGTAGCCTTATTTCTGTCTCCCAGGCAAGATGCTATTAGGGGTCACTTCCCATGTACGGAAAAAACAATCTTCATGGATAATAATGATAAAACCTTATGGAATGCAAAAACAACCAAAATATGTATTCTCGGATGACTGCATTAGGGCCAAGTCAATATTAGTCCCACTACGCCCACACAACGCATAGTCTAAAAATGCTGTCAGCCTGATAAGAATTTCCTTTACTCTCTTTTCCAATAGAAAATGTAGGTCATCAAAATAAACTTCTGACAGTAAAAGAACAGTAGTTATACTGTCAAGTCTCTTGTTATTTAGCTAGCCAGTTATGGTCAAATAGTTCCTTTACTTGACCAAGGGAAAAAAAAAAAAGAAGAAGAAGAAGATGAAGAAAGAAAGAAATCTTGGACAAGCCATTTTAGTAAAAGCAACATGAAAATTTCCAAGCACACCTCTCAGCTACATTCTTATGATTGACTCAGCCTAACATCTACTTAAGCAATGTCTACAAAAGCCCCAAATATAGAAGTTGATCATTACGTTAACTAATCAATGTAGATAGTCTGATTTTTTTTTTAAGAAGATCATTGGTCAGAGTTTTTCTAATTTTTATCTTATTTTTTACTTTTTAAAATTTTGGTCTTCAGTATGTTGATGAGTTTAGCAAAAGAATTTAATTTGAGGACTGAGTCTCAAGGCTATTGCAAACATTAGATGAAGTATTTGGAGTCATTTCTTATTGAAAACTCTTATGATTGGTAATTTGTCATTTTCTCTGATACTGAATGTTATTTTCTAGCTCAAAAAAGAAGTTAATATTAACTCCGCCTCAGACTCATTGATTTCACAACCCAAAAAATGAAACCGTATTTGAAACAACAACTACTAGTTGTTATTTTTTAAGGGAGGAAAGTATCTTTCTGAATATTTAGAGAAGTTTTAGTTTGTTGCTCATCCACATTCCAAATGATAATTGAAGGCCTCTATAATATCAGAGGTGCTTTGAAATGCTGGAGCTGCTAAATATTTAAAAAAAAAAAAAAAAAAAAAAAAAAAAAAAAAAAAAAAAAAAAAAAAAAAGGCAAGAAAGTAGGACTCCTTCCTCTTTTGCCCTAATTGGTCCCGGTTAAGCTGGTACTGTTTAGCAGATGAATCTGGGACATGAACTCTTCCCAAATCAGCTGAACTTCACAGTTCCTAAATTCTAAACAGAAAGTTAGATTTCTTTCTAGAGAGTGGCACTGTAATTCTAGAAAAGAGACAGAGGTAGAGGAAACACAGAAAGTAAAAGGCCAGATGAAGTAATGGGCCAAACCTGTAAAGGTTTGCAATAAAACATGTGGTTCCTAACAAAGTGGAAAGAAGTAAACCAATGCATTCTATGGATGGTAATTTCCTAATGAAATCTAGTTATATTTTTTAAGTTTCTCCAAATCCACCAACCCTAACTCCCATAGTCTGAGGTGGACTCTATTTTGGCACAGTCCTTGCCACACACACTTTTTGTTTTAATGTAGTACTAACTAAGCCTTGGCACACTCTCTGTTGAATCCAGAGAGTAACGTGGCAGGGCACTTCATGCACTCTGCTGTTCCTTCCAAAGTAACTATAGCATCTTCTCAGTTCACGTCCCCTTATTATGGGCATCCTCAGTTACTCTTGGAAGAGTGGAGATCCAGCATCCAGAGATCCAAGGTAACAGCCTCTTGGCTGAGGGACACACTGTCAACAGACAACACGAAAGCTCTGCGCTTTGCTGCGATGAGAAAATGAACGCACAACCTTAATCCATCCCTGTCCTCTAAGTCACAGTCACAGGGAGAAGGACTATGGAGAAGTTCTAGTAACACCCCATAGACATTATGCTACACCAATGTTCCCCCGTTAAAGTCCCAGATCGCTTTGTGAACTCCGTCAGCACACTTCATCTTCCTCATCCAGAAAACCCTAAAACACTCCACCTTTCCAAACAAATAAAATAGTTGGTTTAAAGGAAGTTTACTCACATAGTCCTAAGACAGATGCCCTTGGTGAGCTTCAGAGAACTGAGTCCTAAGAGCTAGGGTGGCCCTGAGCTCCGGCGGGCACAGCTCAGTGAAGCCCCAGCCGGGTCCTGCCTCGCCCGCCCGCTCCCTTCCCGGAGCCACAGCCTCTCCTCCGGCCCTCTCGGTCCGGGTTTCTGCTCGAGGACGCTCCCGCAGGTCCCAGAGCATCCTCCGCGCCACGCGTGCCTGCGGGACGCCGCCGAGCCCCAGGCCGATCCCCGCGGAGCCCGTCGCCCCCGCCCCCGGCAGGCTGCCCGGCCGGTGACTCACCTGCTGGCCAGGTTGGGGCGCCGGCTGGTAGCAGGCTGTGGGGCCGGTTGTCGCTGCCCTGGGGTTGGGCAGGTACTGGGACGCTCCATACGGCTGCGGGTGATACATCACCTCCGCACAGCTCATGGCAGCCGGGGCAGTGGCGGCCCCCGAGCTGCCGCCTGTGTCGCTGCTCCAGCCGCTGCTGCGGCGAAGGCGGGTCGTGCGCGGCCGCGGGCTCCGCGCGGGGCGCGGGCTCCGGAGGGACTGGCAATCGGCGGGGGCCCGCGCGCGGGCAGCTTCATCTTCAGCCCCTCCGGGTGTCCCCTGCCGCGCTTATATAGCGGCTCGGGGACGCGGCCGCCCGCTGCGCCGCTGGGGCATGACGGCGTCCCGCTCGCGCGAGGTGCGGCGCCCACGGCAGCGCCAGTCACAGCCACAGCCCAGGCCGGGTCGGGCGGCCGTGCGGAGCCCGGGCTGCGCTTTGCATGTACACAATGCGCGCCCCGGGCTCGTCCTATCACGGGTGCCCCCGGCGGTGCGAGGCCCGGGAGGCGGGGGCCAGGGGGAGGGGAACGCCAGGGAGGAGGGGGGCCTTGCCTCCCCAGGCTCTGACGCGGAGCTCTGCAAAGTTTCTCTAACTCGCTTAGCAGCGGGCGGGTCACCCTGCAGGGGGACCCCGGGGAAGGCCGGCTGCGGATTGGAGCGAAGTTTGCAGCCCTCTCCGCCTCCAGCACGGGACGGTGGTGGGAGGAGAATGGTATGCAGAGGCTCCGCGCCCTCAAGGCTCGGCAGGTTCCCACCCTGTGTGTGTCACCTGGCCGCCAGGGCGAGGGCTTCCCGACTCCAAGGAGCTTTTACAGGGAACACCAACTCAGAGGCTGGGGCCAAACGAAAGCCAAGTGTACAAAGGGATAAAACAAGGCACAGCAGAATACGCGGGGATTCGCTCCTACGTTAAAAATAATCACAAGTGAAAGTTAAAATCACTGCAAGTGCGCACATGCCAAGAATGCAGCGCCGTTTTCCACAAGCAATCTCTGCTTTAAGTTTACATCTTCACTCTATGACACTCCTGTGGGACGTCCACCGTTTCTGGCTTTTGCAGTCTGGTTTTCATACAGCAATAGAGGGTAATTGATTAAGCCCTTTCAGCTACTAAAGATTTATCTATTTGCAAGTGGATCTATCCCTCCCCAAAATGAGGAAAAATAAATATGTGAGAATATGCTTGTATCCTGACATAATCATCAGAAAGAATTATGCTCACTTTTAAAAATTTATTTTGAGACAGAGTCTCCCTCTGTCACCCAGGCTGGAGTGCGGTGGCATGAGCACAGCTCATGGCAGCTGCCACCCCCACACTCCAGAGAACCTCCCATCTCACCTTTTGGAGTAGCTGCGACTACAGGCCTGCATTACCACGCCCAGGTAATTAAAACAAACAAACAAACAAACAAAAAATTTCTTGTAGAGAAGGGGTCCTGCTATGTTGCCTATTCCGGTCTCTAACTCCTGAGCTCAAGTGATCCTCCTGCCTCTGTCTCCCAAAGTGCTAGAATAACAGGCGTCAGGCTGCACTGGGCCTCATTTTATAAATGAGCAACCTCTAGCTCTGAGATTCAGCAAACCTGCCTCTCCTTATTGTAGACATCCTCTTTTATGACTCAAAGCAATCTGTCATTTTCACAGGCTATCCTTTCTCAGAGAAAAAGTCAGTTTGGAAGTCAAATGTACTAATGTTGAATAGCTTGAATTATGTCTTTCCAAAAGTTTATATACTGAAGCCCTAACTTACATTACAGCTGTATTTGAAAATAGGACATATAAGGAGGTTTTAAGGTTAAATGACATTTTAAAGGCAGGGCCCTAATCTAATAGGACTAGGGTCCTTATAAGAAGAGAGAAACACACCAGAGATATCTATCTATCCGTCAGACCCCATTCCCGCTCTCTTTGCTCTGCCACGGAGGAAAGGTCATCCGAAGTCCTAGTGAGAAGGCAGCTGCTACAAGCCAGGAAGAAAGGTCTCACCTTGAAACCAACACTGACCACACCTTATCTTGTGCTTCTAGCCTTCCATGAAAAAATTAATTTTGGGGGGCACCACCTAGTTGGTGGTATTTGTGGCAGCCCTAGAAGACTAACATAGATCTACAGTTCTCATATTGTTAATGTTTATGTAAGTGTCGCTGTGTATGTCTAACTACACAGATACATACACATGAACATACACACATTCACACTATAAAAACTGGATAGGATACCGGGTGCGGTGGCTCACGCCTGTAATCCCAGCACCTTGGGATCCACAAGGTGGGTGGATCACGAGGTCAGGAGATCCAGACTATCCTGGCTAACATGGTGAAACCCCATCTCTACTAAAAATACAAACAATTAGCAGGGCATGGTGGCACACGCCTGTAGTCCTAGCAACTCGGGAGGCTGAGGCAGGAGAATTGCTTGAACCCAGGAGGTAGAGGTTTCAGTAAGCCGAGATTGAGCTACTGTACTCCAGCCTGGGTGACAGAGTGAGATTCTGTCTCAAAAAAAAAAAAAAAAAAAAAATTGGATAGAAACTTTTTGCTACACCATAACAGTTTCTATTCACTCATTATTTTATCCACTGAAAATTAAAAGCATATTTATTAAGGGCTTGCACAGTTTGGACTTTAAATTGTGCTCTTTATAGTGCAAGAGTATTTCTAGCAATAATATGTTTCATGATTTACTTTAAATGTTTATTATTATCTTTTCCCAAATTGACATCCTTTGATCAGACCTCTTTCCTATGTTTCAGACTTATCTATTCAGTTTTTCCTAGGTAGCTCCGCATAGGTGTCACATCAGGACCTCAATCCCAGTAGCACCGATCATCTCATGTCCCCAGTTTGATCCTCTTTTTTAATCTTCATCTCTACTGAAACTCTCCACCTATAAGTTGCCTCAGCTACAAGTGTGGGAATCTTCTGGCACTCCTTCCGTCTCCTCACAGTCCCCACACCTGGTCTTGGAGTCAAGTTGACCCAAAATTTTACATTTTTACTGACTCCTTATCACTGGTCGTCTCTCACTCAGACTCCTACAAGAGACCCCTAGTGATTTCCAGGCCCCAAGGTCGACCTTCTCCCCATTCTTCATAGTTTATGCTACTACTCTTTAATGTCCCAGCCACTGCAAATCCAACTGTGCAATGATGATTCATTCTTCTTTTTAAAATTTCACAGTCACATCCCACAGTCTGTAGAAACAACAATTTAAAGCTTCAGATTCTGGCCCCTGCCTATGTCACTACTTCCTGCGAATGTTTACCAGTTATCTCAATGGAGATCTGCATTCTGCAAAGAAGCTGTGGTACTTTCTACCAGCATGTCATTTTACATATGCGCAGGACGTCTACACCAACACATCCCCCACCTTCTTCACTTGTTAACTCCTTCTTGCTCTTCAGGTAATTGTCTTCCAAAACATCCGATGAGGATCAGCTTTAATGCCCCTCTTTTCATCAGCTCTCATACTTTTATGAATACTGCTTGCATCATACTAATAATAACTACTTGATTTGCAGTTGCTTATTTGCGTGTCACCCCTATACGACCATGGCTGCTTGAGAGGAGAGGCTGTGAGTTTTATCTCTAAATTTCAATCACATTATGCCTGGCTTAATAAACATTCTCTGAATAAGTAAAGTATAATAGGAGGAGAAGCAAAAATTATTAGAAAAGCTTACAAATTTATGGGGGGATCTGAACACATATGAAATCAGTGAAGGCTATAATGCAGAATATCATTTCAAACTCTGTTTTCGGCTTTCTGTTGTATGTTAGATTGAGAAAATCCTTATGATGTTAAAAAAGATAGAATATAAATAGAATATAAAGTGACTGAATTAGGCCACAGAGCAAGTGTGTGAGGACAGCCACTTCTCAATACAAGAACCCCTGTTCAAACGTTTAATTGCTCCAACTTTTTTTCAAATAACTTATATCTGTAATTGATTATTTTTTGTGCAATTGTGAGTTCAACATCTGTCTCTTTAGCTAGACTTTGGCAGACGTCACTTATATCTTGTTCATCTCCTTATGTAACACTTAGAAAACATTCTATATACATTTTCTGAATGATAAAATAAAGCCAAAGCATGGTTCAACATGTCCATACCCCTCATTTCTGCATCTTCCAGGCCACACATGGCCTCTGGGGTGTTGCGAATATTTATTCCATGACAAAGAAAAGTCCTTTGGTACTAATAAGTCATAGACATGAAAGTCTGTAGGTGTTTGGCAAAATCTCCCACAATGTAGTATTTTTTTGGATACCTCTCTTTGTTTCTGTATTGTACTGACGGAAGAAAATAAGAGAGTAAAGATTTATTCTACCTAGGCTTAGAATCTAGAAAAATGGACACAGAGAGAAAATACCTTGTCAAAGGCTGCAGTCTTAGTGAGGTCATTAATACAAATTCAAATAATTCATGTTAACAAAATCTACATTTGAGTTCTAGTTGGAAAGTAGATGTATCTCACTTTCCGGAAGTAGCGATTTAGGGTTTTAGAATGGAAAATAGTGGAAAGGATCATCTAGTTTAAAACATCTTCTTTCATAAATAAGTAAATATGTAGTCTGATTGATGTCTTCTTGGGAACTGTGGCAGAAGTACAACCAAAGTCCCATTTATCTTGACTCTTGATTTAGTTCTCTTTCTTAAACCCGCAGTAAGGATATATAAACAAACACATATGCCTATGGATATGCATACATACATTATACATATGTGTACATATTCCTAGATGTTTACTTATGCATATATATACATACACAAAAGAAGTTTTTGATCATATTATCCTCGAGCCAAGCTGGAGTTGCAGAAGAGGATTGTGTATATGGGGTGGGGATGCAGGTCAATTCCATTCAGCAAGAGTGAGTCACTCAGATCAGGGAATGTGATCTGACCACTGGTGTACTCATTGTCATCTCTACTATGTAAGGGTGTCACAATTACTTGGAAAAGCAGCAAGGGTATGGAATTTAATTCTATGTAGTTCTGAGCTAAAGTTCCTCAAAGTTTACCCTTCTATGTTTTCTCCTTTCACACTTTTCTAGTTCAATTCTGATGTGGAACCTGACCTGAATGAACTTAAACATTCCCAATTCTTGTGAATCATGGGTCTTCAGTC